TTTTATGGCACTATTTTTGATAGGTTGGTCTGTTTTTTCCCTTTGTGTAAAGACAGATGCAAAAAACGAGTTAAATAGTTCCGCTTTCTCCCTGTTGCTTGTCACCTTCTTGCCACTTTCACCCACTAATGGACCAATCATTTCCTTCACTTTTTTCTTGTTTTTTACATGTTGAAAGAAGCTTTTTTTTGTTATTTTTTACTTTGGTCGCAAGCCTTAGTTCATTTTGAGCCTTGGCTTTCCTCACTTCATCTTTGCAGGCTCGGGCTATTTGCTGATATTCTGACTTAGTTATGTGCCCCTCTTTCCACTTTGATAAGCATAAGGAGATAAAGCTAAATCCACAGGACCATAGACAACAATGGATACTTCTTAGAGACAATGTAAATTGCTTCCATATTGCTATCAAGAAAATCAATGGGAGATCATCCTATTGCCTGTCAATAAGATTTTTAATGGTGTAAGCTGCCCCAAGGCACCATGTGTGAGTTGGGTGGCCATATAAATTTCTTAAATAAATAATCAGTCAGTCATTCAAAGGAGAGGCACAAGTTTAAGAAGATGAAGACTGTTCCAATTGCTTTTTTGAAGATTGCAATGTAAGTTACTTGGAAGGACCAAGTCTTGGGGACTTTGGAATAGAACAGATAATGTGAGAAGCTCTGGCACATGGAAAAGTATTATCTTGCTTGCCAGAAGTAATAAAATATCATTAATGCTTAATTAGAAGTCCTACTAAATTAAATGGAATTCACCTAACCCTTTAAACATGTCTAAGGTATCCTGCTATCAATTATTTAAATTCAAAGGGAAACAGTGAAATTTGCAGAAAACTGATCAAACACATAAAAAGGGGGTGGAAAAAAGCAGACACTTTTCAGCTTCTGGGGACTATATTTAGCACAAGCGGAAAAGCAGTGCTTTCTGATTAAAAAAAAACAAAACAGGATAAACAAGGAACCAGGCCTGGAGTACTGACAATTGTTAAATAATGAAAACACTGATGTGTGCTTTCCTCCATGATTTTATTATGGCTAATGTGCCACAGCTTATGAATATTGCAAAGCTGCTGAATAGCTCACAAGCCATTCCAACAATATAAGTAACTAATGACAAAAATATGGTTGAAGTAACTTAATAACTGTAGCCTTTTTACACTAATACATGTATGGTAGATATTACTGTATTCATATGTAATAAGAAAATGCAGAACTTTAAATACAGGGTTAAAAGCTGACAAATAATGCAAAAATTCAATACTAATTTAAAACAGAGGAAGAGGGGGAAAATAAACTATTTATGGAAGCAATTAATTGTACAAACCCAAGTAACTAATAAAAGTTTCATAGACTTCTCCAGCTAAACGGGGAGGAAGAAATAGCACATTTCTGTTTTTGTACAGGTAGCTTTAATTTCCCAAGTGTTGCATACTACAGCACCCATCGGTCTCAGCCATTTTATATTTTGATTGAATACAACAGAAACTGTGGATCAATACCTGGCTACTGCCAAGTAGAAAAAGCTGCTTTAGGTTTCAAATGACTAAGCCAATCTACTTTTTAATAAATAACCAGATCTTTCAATACATAATTATAAATAATAGACATGTTTTTTAAAATATCAGATATTCAACTTCTTGACAATTAAACAAGAAGTGGCACATACACCTAACAAATGAATAAATGAACTACTTTTAGAATAAGATATACTACTTTAAATAATTTCATCAGCAATATTTTCACCACTGAAAAACATTTGAGCGTTAATGTGCTGGTTTACATTTTATATGGCAAACATTTGGTCTAAATGTCCTCCAGCTTTATTTAGTAAAATCTCAACCATTACAATTACAAAAATATTTCAGAAATATTTCTACTTAAACCTATAAGGAGGTAACATCTAAGTTCATTGTGTGCAAAGACATAGATGGTTGTGATGTCATTTTATTCTAGTCACGATTCTTGCAGCATAATGATAACGCTCACCAACATCTACATTAATGTATCCTAATATGAAGAACCAGATTCCAAGAACAAAGGTGGGCCACTAATTTTCCCAAGGGGCCACATGAGAAACTGGGAATGTTGTGGAGGACCACAGCCACCCTGCCAATGCACCACCTTCCGCAGATGCCACACTGATATTCTGCCCCCAACCCCCATTTCTGAAGCCCTATTCTCCCATTGATACCAATGCCATGTGCTAGACTGGGATCGCCTGTGAATCATAAAATGCTCAGGTCTGCAAAGAAGAACAATAATTCCATCAATATAAATACAAAGAAATTTGAGATCAGCATCTGTTTTAGTGTAAATCATAACACAGAACCCAAAGTTTCCCCCAAAATTATACACTTACAAGTCATTAAATTTATCCAGTGAAGGATCTGGTGTGAAGACATCTAGAAGCCCAATTACCTACAGAAGGGAAACACAAATAAGAAAATAACGCCATTGCAATTATTTGCATGAGAAACATTAATTGCCGGTCTGCTTCCAGATCCAATTCAAAATGTTGATTATGATCTTTAAAGCCCCTCAGGGCATGAGGCCAGGTTACCTATGGAACTATCTTTATCCCTTACATCAGCATGTCTCCCCCCCCCCCCCGATCACACAGGAAAGATGTGTTGCAGATCCCGTCAGTTAAAGAGTGATTGGTGGGGTCCACAAAGAAAGATTTCTTGGCTTTTACCCCCCACTCCGTGGAAGTCTACCCCCTACCAGAGGTGAGGCAGGTCCCCACTCTCTTGGCTTTCCATAAAGGTGTTGAAAACATGGCTCTGCACCTTTTCTTGGAGCAAGCAGTTGGTGCCCTGAAAGCCCCCCACTTTTTAATCAATTTGTAACATTCCTTGCCTTTTTTAAATTTTACATATTATTTTCTATGTTTTTAATATTTTATTGAACACCTCCCAGAATCACTTTGTGAAGAAGATGGAAGGTTCTTAAATATGACAAACAAATGATTAGTGAATTCAGGGTTTGTTTTGCTGTAGGGAAATGGTGTTACATTTAGTACACTATACGTTGCATGCATTTCATGTATATAGGTTAGATCTGAACAACTGAGAGCAAACTGCAGAACTTAAGATTTGCCATCTCTTCAACACCTCTAAAAACACTCCAGAGGTTAGAAAAGCTTCATATGAAGGAGGATATCAATGGAGATCAAGTTTCTTTTTGCACTGCTTTCTTTGTGGGAATGTCTCCCTGTATCAGAAAAGAAAACTGTTGGCTTGCAGCTTCCTTTGTGCATCTTCTGAGATTCCTCTACCAGAATTGTATCTGCTCAAACTAACACCATTTTGAGGTAGGCAATCCAAGGAAATAATCTTAAAGGATATATATCACAATTAAAAAATAAAGACTCTCACTATATTGCCACCAGCTAAGTCTTGTTCATATGGAAGATGTAAAGCTCTTGTAGACATCATTCGTCCAGAAAGATTAACTATGGTCCTTTGCCACTAAAAGATTTCTACCCATTTTAGATTTGGTTTAGCAACACAGCATAGATACCCCTCCCGTAAATATTTAATGAATAGATAAAATATTACAACCCTGCAATTATCTCACATATTCTCATGAAAATTCATGACCCATAAGTGTTCATCTTAGAAATGACAAAGCCAGGAGCCAAAAAATGCTGAACCTTGATTTACTGCACCCCACCAAAAAAAACCTGACCAAATTAACTTGTATGAAAACACAAACCTGCCTGATTCTTACCTATTAATTTATTTGCTTCGCAGAAAAATAGATAATTAGTGCTGAAAAAGAGTAATTTTAATGGATTCAAAATATATTCCGTTTGCTCCTTGCTAAAACAAAAACTCTGAAACAGCACTTTAACAAAACTGTTATGGCTTGAATGGAACAGAATATTTGTAACTAGCAACAAGACAGCACTCTCTTCCTCAATCCCCAGATTCACAATCAGTACTGATAATTACTAGACAAAACATATAACGTTTAATTGGACAGACAATTAATGCTGTCAAAAACACATGGAAGTATCAATTGGTATAACAAAAAGCTTTGGTCCCTTTAGCTTTCAAAAATCTGACAAGGGGAGCAAGCATTGTGCATAAAATATTATTGTTCAGACATGATGATAAATTATACACACACACACACACACACACACATATACATATATATACATCCCCACCCACGTGTGTGTATGTATGAATGTATATATATATGTATATATATGTGTGTATATATATGTGTATATATGTGTGTATATGTGTGTGTGTATGTGTATGTGTGTGTATGTATGTGTATATATATATATATATATATGGCTGGAAATAGAATTAAAAATCCGACTCTTGGGTGCGTCCATGTTGTGTCCAAATAATCACGATCACCAAGAGTAGATAAAATGTTTATAAACAATTAAAAAGTTTAAAAACAATTTAAAAGCAATAAAACATTTAAAATTATCGGCAACCGAGCTTTCGTCGGACTCTCCCGACATCATCAGGGTTGCTGAGGCGGTGTTTGGGAGGTCTTGGCGTATTCGGGTCTTTTCCTGTGTAAGATTGAGAGTATCTTACACAGTATCTTGGCGTATTCGGAAAAGACCCGAATACGCCAAGACCTGCATACCTGTACCCATGAAAATCTACGAAAACAAATATATATATGTATGTATATATGTATGTATGTATGTATGTATGTATGTATGTATGTATGTATATAAATAGAGCTGGAAGGGATCTTGGAGGTCTTCTAGTCCAGCCCCCTGCTCAAGTAGAAGAATCTATACCATCTCAGACAAGTAACAGATCCTATAGATATACAGCAATATCATTCAGCCCAAGGGCTCAGTAAACAAAATATCAAACTGACACCAGTTGTTCATTAGACTCTACAACAATTCTCACTTAATTATGAAGATTTTTTTTTAAATTTGGCATTCTGTAATGTTAGGCTACATATTAACTATGGTTAGCATCTGCTCTGTTCCTTTATTATCATGACTATGAGATTAATGTCTTTTACACTTCCAGTTTTAACTAAATAGACTTTAATTATGGATAGATCTCAACTGTTAATTCATTTAACCAATTCTAACTGCTGGTTTGTTTCAATAATTTTCAGTAAGCATTTGCAGATTGAGTCATCCCTTTATGGGGACATTTTAAGGCTGAAAGAGGTTAAAGCTGGAGGAACAAAACTAACAAAAACATGGGTTAGCCTAAATAGATAATTTTACTGATGACTTTTATTTGAGATTGTTCTGGTAAATTTCTCCCAGGTTTGGGCTCAGAGCTAATGCTAAATGAAAATGAGATGGCAATCTCATGGCCACATTTTGTTTATGAGGTGCTAAACCAGAGTTGTCATGCAATGCTTGTCCATACCAGGCTTCCGTATTTCATGACCTGTTACTAATATAGTTGATGAGGCAGTGGAGGAATGAAAGGTTGTGCAAAACTTAAATCATTTAGAAGAAATGGGAATACAAAACAAAGCAAAACAAAACAATGATTTAGATCAGAGGTCCCCAACCTTTTGGGCACCAGTGACTGGTTCCATGAATAGGTTTTTCCACGGACCGGAGGGGGCGTGATTTTGTATGCTACCTGCATCCCGCGGATGGGGCTTTGCTTATTTGTGCAGCCCGGTTGCTGGCATGCCGCAGCCCGGTACTGGTCCATGGACCGGGGGTTGGGGACCTCTGATTTAGATCTTCATCTAGATCCATGTTAGTCCATGTGAAACAGTTCCTGTTAGGCTGCTAAAAAGAGTGGGTAAGGGCTTTCTGAACTGTGAAACAAAAGGTTCGTTAGAGCAGATACTCACATTTTCATGCTTCATGTGCTTCAGAAGGCGCAGTTCCCGATAAGCTCGCTTGGCAAAAAGCTCTGATTGAAATGGACGGTACAATTTCTTGATAGCCACCTTGCTTCCATTTTTCTGGTCAATAGCTGAACTTAACAGAGACAGGAAGAGTTGAATTAGATGTAAATAGAGAAGACATGTGGACCTGTTGTATTAACTTTCTAAGGTGGATTCAGCTCTTATCTTTAATTGTGCTACAAGGGTGTCTATGAATTAATAAGGATGGCTGTTCAAATGAGGTTACCTCTGCCCTGTTCTCCTTCTAAGTGTGGCAAGAAGTTTGCTTATCTTGGGAAAATTCTTCACTGACTGGAGGTTCACTCCTAGCACCACCAACAAAGTAACTATGTACTTCTACCTTAACAACAAACTAGCATATGAAGCCACAAAGATCTACTTAACAAACAGCTTACTCCCCTATAATCCCCATCCAAAGTACCTTGGAGTAACATTGGACTGGACTCTTTCCTATACAATACATCTAGAGAATACAGTAGCAAAAATCAATACTAAGAATAACATATTCCATATTCCAGAAATTATATGGAACTAAATGGGGAGCTTCAGCTGCCATCCTCAGGTCATTAGCACTAGGGTAGGTCTACTGTGCCCCTGTATGGCTTAACAGTTGCCACATTAGCAAGTTAACACCAGATTCAACAATACCATAAGGATTATAAGTGGATGTATTAAAACCACTTGGACTTGCTGACTTCCTGTTCTGATCCATATGGCACCGCCAGCTTTACAAAGGCAAGATGCTCGAGTGACAGTAAACAGAAAAATTCTGAACTACCGTTGCATGCGGACCTTCCTCATTTGTATCAGCCAGAAGACTCAAATCAGGAAGCCCCCAATGGCACTTGCATAACATCTGCCAACAACTTTAACATCGATTCCTAATGGAAAGCCAAATGGATAAACATAGATCTTTTTAACATTTATATTGTATTGTGTTTTACTAATCTAGGTGAAATGTTAATATATATTGCTAGTCCATGTATGATATGCCATACACTAAATAATAAAAGCTTGATTATTTGTAAGTTTATCAGTTATAGAGGTGTATTGTAACAAGAAACCTAAGAAACGGCCGCAAAAACAGGATGCTGCGTGACAGGGCGCAAAAATGGGCTGCCGCTGCACCTCGGGACGCAAATGAGCCGCTGCTGCACCTCGGGTGAGAAAATGGGATGCCAACGCAGTACTGTGGGGCGCGAAAACAGCGCCACCGCACTGCGAAAATGGGGTGCTGACACACTACGGGGTGCAAAAATGGGCCACCGCTGCACTGCAAGGCGCAAAAATGGACGCTATCATGCCATACGCCGTGGAAACGGGCGACCACCACATGGCCCAAAAACAGGGCGCCACCATACCATGGGGTACAAAAACGGACCACTGCGCCGCAGGGCGTAGAAACAAGGCACTGCACCACACAAGAACGGGACAGGGCTAGTATCACGTGGGATGCTAGCCCCGCCCTGTTTGCAGTGCAAACGTGCTCACAGCCCTTTGCACATGCGCACATGCATGCTTCCCCCTTCCTTTTCCTCTGCCAACCGACAAAGGTTGGTGACCTCTGTTTTAGACAGCAAAATACACAGTTGGTGCCAGCCTAGGAAGAATTTTTAATCTTTGTACTTACACTTTTCAATCACTTTATATCTGTGAGGGCATTATTTTTTAAATTTAAGGAATAACAAATATAAAGAATAAACAAAAAGAATCACATATTTGACATATTCTTTAGAAATTCAAATTCTGTGTCCCAAGATATAACATGTCCAGCAAGGTGGAGGGTTTGATAAATCCAATTAATATAGGTAATAGTGCTTGTACACATTTATTCCATCTGTGTGGTATTCTGCCTAATGTATCAATAATTAGAGGAATGACAATTTCCAAACCTTTTTTCATAATTACTCTTTTTAATTGTTTAAACTCAGTATTTTGTATTTTTCCCATTTTTCATTTCTATTATTTTCAGTTATTGTTATTAGGTAACACTGCTTCACACATTGCTCAATTTTGCTTTTTTTGACTTAGAATACAGACAGGAAACTGGAAAGTTTAAAGGAGCCAAATATTTTTCCAGTTAATTCCATTCAGAATACTTTTTCCACATAAATTCACTTTCATTTAGTTCACAAGATGCACAAAATGAGCCAGAGATGTATTCACCTGACCGGGTCATAATGGTACCTTGAATGGGAAAAGCTGGATAACCTCTAGAGTAATTGAAGATTGAAGTCAAGACTCCAGCATTTTATGTTGCAAAATCTGTCAGAAATATAACTGGTCGCAGAAATGCAGTTTTGTCAATGCATTCTAACTGCCAATTACACCAACCATCATCAGGGCACATGCCAGAGGAAGTAAAACATCATTTTTTCCTATTTCCATTTGAGATCTGGGATCAACAGAGGGGAAGAAACCAGTCATTGCTAGATGGAAATCATAGAATGAAACATTAAAATGGCATGGAAATAGGAAGGGACAGGATGTAATGTGATGTAATGGGCACACTCCATAGTGTTTTTGGCAGTAATATAGAAGCAGTTTGCAACTGCCTTTTCCCAAGTTGCTTTTTCAACTTCCCAGTCTACCCTATAGCTGTAGAATCTCCTGGTGGTCTCCCATCCATCAAAACAGATTCAATTTGTTTAACTTTTATCAGATCAGCCTAGGTTGGTTAGAAGTTGCCTATAAATTATTGGAATTGGGTTTCCAACAGAAAATTTGGCTTTCTGTTTATTTGGCTTTTGTTTTTAATTACTCTCAACAGAAATTCAGAATAATAGAATAACAGAGTTGGAAGGGACCTTGGAGGTCTTCTAGTCCAATCCCCTGCTCAGGCAGGAAACCCTATGCCATTTCAGACAAGTGGTTGTGCGATCTCTTCTTAAAAACTTCCAGTGTTGGAGCATTCACCGCTTCTGGAGGCAGGTTGTTCCACTCATTAATTGTTCTAACTGTCAGGAAATTTCTCCTTAATTCTAGGTTGCTTCTCTCCTTGATTAAATTCATTGTGGCAGCAAAGCCATTAAAAGGCTGAGTCATTTCCAGTTAGTAAAAATGGCATGTATTGCAAGAACATTTCTGGGGGTGGGGGGAATTAAACATTTCCCTTTACAAACACCAGCCACTTTTTTTTTTTTTTTGGGCAAAATTGTAATTTGCTACCCAAGGTTGTTTCAGTTTTTTCCCTCTCCCAAAGAGCGTCACCCCCTTCTCTGCCCCAAAACAATGCAGTATTTTTTTCTCTCGCTGGCATGTAAATAAAGAGCAGAGATAAGAAATTCAACCTTCAAGCCATCCGAAGTCCTGCCAATACTACCCCACTGGTTCTGGGTTCACTTTCAATGCAGGAAGGAGCGTGTTTGGGCGGGACGGCGAAGAACTGCTGCATTCACACGACACGTTGTTTAAAAACCTCGCAATCTCTATGAGCGGAGCGCGCTAACTTAATTAAAGATACCGTTCGTTTTTGATTAATGGAGTCTTTCTCGTGTCTCCGGGCGTTAAGAGACCCCGGCTGATGCAAAGTGAGCGAACCCAGAAAACGGATCCCCTCGGTACCCAGATCGAGCGTAATCTGGTGAATAGGTACAGCAGGTCCAACCGCTGGTCTGCAGAAGAAAACGCGCTCAGGTTGGCATTTCGTGCGCCCATCGCTGGTTACCGGCTGCCGCGGAAGAGCCTGGGCTGTGTGTGTGAACACACAGTGCGAAGGGGCCATTGTTCCCTTGCTCGACGGCGCCGGACTTTTACGCTCCGGCAGCGCAGCGCTTCCTTCGGGGCTCTTTCCTCTGCCCGCAACCAGGGGCGCTTTGCTGCGCCTCGGCGACTACTTACCAGACGGCGCCGTAAGCTCCGGAGCCCACCGCCTGCAGCTCTCGGTAGCGCTCCCTCACTTCCCAGACGGTTTTGGTGATCTCCTGGCGGTAGAAGCCTTTCCTGGGGGCGGACATCGCGGCCTCTCCCTCCTCCTCCCCAAGTTGCCCACAGAGAAAAGGGAAGAAAAAAAAAAACCAGCCTGCGAGGAACGGCAGCCGAGAAAAGGGCGGCGGGGTCTGGACCCGCTCCTGGTGCCTGGCGCGCGCAGGGCCTTTTGTGCGGCAGCGCGGGGGCGCGCGCGGCTCCTCTTGCGGGGTCTGTGGAACTGGGTCCTAGCTCCCCCTCTCCCCTTGCCTTCTCCTATTCGCTTTCCCCGGGTGGAGGAGGAGGAGACCAGCGCGGCGGTATCTTGGCTATGTCGAAAGGCCGCGTGCGGGTACGCGCGCGCGCGCGCGCTCTTGGGGAGGTGGGGGCTGCGGGATGGACTCTTTTTATTTTTTGCTCCTGAACGGCTACTCTTGCTTCCTCGTTGTTGGAAAATGCCGGCTTGGGTTGCCGGCTTTCAGCAAGGAGGTCCATGGTGGAAAGCAGCTGCCGGGCATAATGGAACAAAAATAAGTTTTTTTTTGTCGAGCGGAGCGGCCTTGGATTCTCTCTCTAGCTGCTGAAACCGGAAGGCATTATTTCTTCATAATTAACTGCGCTTGAAGTCCTAACATAGGCGCGTCCCGATTAAAAACCCCAAAAACTTGCAACTGCTTCCAAACCCAGCCTGGTCGCAGATATGGTCTCCGTAGATTACTCTCTCTTAGGCTCACCTCCAGTTTTCCTATCTACCGGTAGTATTTCTATTTCTAAGTTTATCATATTTTCAAGTAGGAGGAGGTTGCAGTCTGCAGGGTAGTGCGAGTAAAGCTGGCAGCAGGGAAGTTAGCGCAATGTTGTTTCCCCCTTTGTGCAACATGCCAAGGCCCATAAACTTTAAAGCCATATGCTCCTTTTGTGAGTTGGTGCAACCCTATTGTCCAGGACTTGTAAACTGGCTGGAATGCAAAGCGAAATTGGAGGAGAAAGGTGTGTTAGATAGGGTTGCCAGGTGTCCACTATTTGAGTGGACAGTCCACTTTTTTCACATTATGTTCACTATTTTTTTTCACAAAATAGTGGACATTTTTTTATTCAAAAGCTTTATGATGAAATGTACGTAATCTAAAGCTGTACAGTCTACTTTTTTTACTACTTAACACCCCCCCCCCCCGCTTGTCCGCTATTTTTTGGAAGCAGACCTGGCAACCCTAGTTAGATATGTTTGCCACTTTGAGTTATTTGTAAAAATAAAGGCAGGATTCAAATACATAAATAAATCCCAATCAAAATAGGACATATGATAAACCTAATTTCCAATTTGCAGAAACTTCCTTGGATGAGATCCCTTCAAGCCTCAGGGTTAGGTTCTTGTCACCATCACATTTAACTGGAATGAAGTGGGTTGATACACACAGTAATGTATTGTGCAATCGTATAAATTCAGTCAGCAGTAAATTTAGTTTTGATCTTAAACTGCCCTGGGATTATTTGAAGCTGAACCAGCCCTCTTGATCCATTATGTTATCCAAAACCAAAATAAAGATGGCAAAGTTGATTTTGTGTCATCAAGCTGATGTCAGCTCTAAGCAACCACATAGATTTTCTCTGTGAAGATCTGTCGCTAGCCTGGTCCGTTTCTGATGATATATTCCTCGCAATTGTAACTGAGCCTGATTCTGTGGAGATCATAGAACAGGGGTGTCAAACTCAATTTCATTGAGGGCCGCATCAGCATTGCAGTTGCCCTCGGGGGCCGGGTGGGTGTGGCCAGGGTGGGTGCAGCCTACTGGGTGGGCGTGGATGGAGTGGGTGTGGCCTATTGGGTGGCATGGCCAGCTCTACATCGTTCATGTCAAGGGTGCCTGTGGGGGCCTGGGCAGGAGTGGGACAGATCTGAGGGTCTCTGGCAGAAGGGGGTGGTACCGGGGCAAGCGCCAAGGCATGGTCCATTTCTTCATTCCTCACAAAGGGTGACACCTCCCCAGCATGCACCCACAGCTTGCACTCCCCAACATGTACCCATGGTTCCAGACGGTTTGTGGAGCTAAGACTGAATGCGTTTTAGCATAGATGGCCACCACAAAATTGTACATTGGCTCCCGGCTGGCCTGGGCCAGGGCCAAGGCAGCAGGGGCCGTTCCCTCACTGTTTCCAGGATGCTTCGTGGGCCACATGAAACCACTTCACGGGCTGCATCCGGCCCCCGGGCCTTGTGTTTGACATGTCTGTCATAGAAGGAAACCTCTTGTTAGTCTACAGTGGCAAAAAAATCTGATAGAACTTTTTTCTTTCCAACAAATAAGGTGGCTTGGTCACTCAACAGTGAGAAACTGGAGAAGCGGGCACAGCAGCGCCTGCATTTTCTGCATCGCATGAGAAAAGCACATTTTCCTTCCCCTGTCCTGACCACTTTCTACAGGGAGACGATCGAGAGCATCCTGTCATACAGCATCACTGCTTCAGACAGAAAGACAGTGCAGAGAGTGGTGAGGATGGCCGAAAAGATCATTGGCAGCTCCCTCCTTCCCATCCAGGACATAGCACAGAAGCGTTGCTTGAACAGGGTCCGTAAGATCATCTGTGACACTACACATCCTCTTCATGACCTGTTTTCCTTCTTACCTTCTGGGAGGAGGCTTCGTGGTATCCATAGCAGAACATCCAGATTCAGCCATAGTTTCATTCCATACAGCATTAACCTTGTGAACTCTCAAGCTTCCTCCTTCCGTTATATATTCAAGATGGACAGTACTTAATATTTGTTATGTATATGTAGGGGTGTGGGTCTATACATATGTTGTACATAGTATGTTTAGGTGTGTGTCATGTATGTTTCACTTTGAGAGCGGGCAACTAAATTTCATTTTTGATGTGTGCTGTTGTGCCCACAGTAAAAAAAATGACAATAAAGGTTATCTTATCTTAAAAGGGTACAAGCTTTTGTGAACTGCAGCTTTTTCACCAGATACACAGAATGCTAGACTGATGTGAGGTGAAGTGGGTAGTGGTGGTGGAAAGGTGTTTATGTAGATAAACCCACTGAGATGATCTGAAACCTTTCAAGGTATGTGACTTCACCAATCTCTTGCTTAGTGGTGGAATTAAAATGCTGGTTTTCCAAAACAGTCACCTTGAGGTCTGCTGCAGAATGTCCTAGGAAGTTGAAATGCTGTTCTGTTCTAAGGATTTGTGATGTACTCTATTGCCCTTTTCATAAAGGAGATTAATTAGAGACTTCTGAGATGACCAGAGAAGAGCATGTGGGCAAAAATATGTTCTCATGGTGCGCCCCCTTCCACCCATGATTGATTTCTTGACTGCAGAGTTCAATTAGGCATGATAGTCAAGAGAAAAATCAAAACCAAGAACAAGGATATCCAGGGGTATCTAGTATATGGTCAAAAAAGTCAAGATGGTAGCCATGATAGGAGGATTGAAGCTCTGCCTTTTTTTAATGTGCATTGCTCATGAAAAAAAGAGAGCTTCAATTACAACGTTGTGCTTGCCATATCAACTTTTTCTAGCATATCCCTAAAGGTATCTAGTAATACAGTATAAGCTGAATTTAACATTTGCTATTTTTCATTTACTTTACAGTTTATCAATCTTGTCTCTAGCATCTCTATAAAAAGTCAGGGTATAGATTATAAGTAGAAGCTATGAACCATCTTAATCACCCAAAGTATATTCTCCAGCCTAGATTTTTTAAATACAATGTAATCCCTTATTGGTTTGATTTTTCCTAAACATGGTAACTTAAAGGGGGAAAAGCTAGCATCTCATCCCCCCCAGTGCCTACTTAAGAATGAAGCTTAGAGATAACTGATGCATAAATATTACATATTGCTAAAAGCTGCTTTGTGCACTTTACCTTGAGTGATTCCTTCACCAAGAAGAAAGCTGTTTGGGCATGTTATACTTAATCCACAGTGAGCTTGCTTGTGAGATGCATAAAACCAAACCAAACCAAAGCAAGCAAACCAAAATTAACACCCCCCTCCCCGGAATCTTACCTGATGATCCATCAAGGATTTCTATTAAGGTATGGCTGCTGTGACTGCCAACGCTGACTTCAGTGTCTCAAGCAGACAGTTCTCTAATAGATGGAACAGCAGTCACACAAAGTACTGGCAATATGATCTATTTCCCATTCCCTCTAGGCTTACATGCCTGTACTAGTTACAGAACAATAAATAGAACATCCTAAAACAATCCTGCCTGAGTACAGCAGGTGCACAAAAATATGAACAACCTGCTTTAGTAGAATTGATCTTTGGCAAGATTTTCAAAAGTGTATTAGTTCTATTTGTTACCATTTTTGAGCCAACATCATAGCAGTGGGAGGACATAATTGATCTTATTGAGGCTGGGAAGATAAATTGAACTGGAAGCTGAAAACCCAGCTTTCTACAGTATATTGTTATGGTATATCGACAATGACATGGGCCAGGAGTTGAGTTTGATTGCAGCCTTTTTTCCTTCTAGCCAATGTTGTACTTCAACATGCACATCTAGTGGGCTGAGAAATCTGAGTAATAGACAATAGGAAAGCAAGAGCTGGAGATAACAGAAATACAAAATAAAATCTGCGTGGGAACACCTTCCATCTGTCGTCTGCAATATTTCTTTGGCAGAGATTATGTGTGCTATGCTTTGTTGCTTAGTTTTAGATCAGGGATACATTGAATGAACTGGCCATTTGTGGTTAAATGCTAAAAAGATATATAATTAGATACATATAAGTTAGATAAATACCTTTTAAGAAGATATATATTTCTAGTTCTTTTTGGGTGACAGAGAGAACGACCAAATTTGTTGTGAATTCCAGTATTCCTGTATTAAGGTGTCTTTTAATAGTGAACTGTTTTCTGCATCCCCTTTTCCCATTATTTCTGGGATGTTGTAACCTGCCAACTGAAGTTAGTATTGTGTTAAGTCCAATGCAGTTGGCAGTCTCCGTGTAGCATTTGCAATATTCCTTAGTTTTTGTTTACACAAATCTCTTTGTTGTATAAGGATAATAACCTTGAAAGACAACCTTTGAAAGCATTTCCAAA